ACACACACACACACCCCTTCTGATACTGTAACTGGCACCTTGTGATGATGATAAATGCGATAGTAAAATGCTTTGTACACTATGAATAACATGTACATTCCTGTGCACAGTTGCTCTTTTGTAATTTTGGAAGGTGTAGATGTAATAATATACACCTTAATGTACATATCATGTGTTTGTTCAAGGCTTCTAAGTGGACCGCTGACCCTGTAGTACTTTTTGACCAAATAGTTAGCAGCAGGGCAGAATGGCACCAAACAGTTTTTACTGTCAACATCAGAAATCCTTCAAAACAGAACCAACAAACTTCAGTATTTTTACTATGAATATAGTGCTGAATGTGATTATACAGTGTGGCTGTGAATGCCTCACTTAGATGCAGAATGTTCTTTTATACACATACTGGGGAGGTAATTACTTTTTTGAAATTACAGTTTTCTCATTTGTGTATTTACAATGTAACTGGAGATCAGAAATATATAAACGTGTGACTCATTATGCAGTCACTACTAGTTGTATGAAAAAGATGGGGGATTGTTGATAAAAGTTCTCATATTTCCGTAAGACGCTACAGACTCTTTCTCTGTTTCTTGCAATAGAACAAGATGTGGTTTTCTTTTAACATTACCAGTTAATTTAATATTAACAAACTGAGTCTATCACAGATGTTTAAATTGCAAAATTTTTCTTAAAATGTCATTTCAGACACTAGTAGGTATTGTGCACGTGCCTTGAGAAGATGCTGTAGTAGCAACCAGATTGATGTTTTACCGTTGTTGCCTGTTTAATACCCCGCTGGTTCTGCCAGTGATGATTAGTCCTCATTAATTAGAATATTTTAAGCCATGAGACTTTAAGTGTACTTTAAATGCTCGACAACAGAGACCAGATAAATGAGGTTGTGGTTGATTGTGCAATTTCTGTCACTCATTTAACTTGTTTGTACTGAAGTATCCATTGCATTTATGTTATACAACGTAGATGCAGGCAAATTTTTTCTGAAACTGCTATGCAGCTAATATACTGTAAATGTAGATCTGTTAGTTTTTGAATATATATTTTTCTAAATAGCCTCTCCAAAATAGAAAACCAAAGTAGATGTTTTTTCTGTTATTTATGTTGCTTGTTTAAATACTTTCTGATGCTTTGAGTGCCGCCTTAAACCGATTTTTAAAATCTTTTAGTCAGTTAAAATGCAAATGTATCTTCTCAACAATCTCAAACATGGATACTTTTTTGGGGGGTGAGACAAGGGTCACTAATTGTTTGTCAGTCTTCTTTATTCCATTCCTGCCTGCAGGGTTTATATAGAGGTTTACGTTGTATCCAGGCTTGCTGTTTACTGGTGCAGTGGTTCCTAATCTTTCTGATTTCTCTCAGGGCCTCTGAGTTACTAGTTCATATCATTTTCACACATCTTCTTATTCAGACCAGTAAAAGTCAATGAATATTTGTTTTGTCCTGTAATTTAGGAACAATGTGGACTACAAGTTCTGAAAAACATTTATGCACAATGTAATTTGTCCCTAATTTATTCTGAGTCTGACATTATTTCCCATACGCCGTTGCTTACACTTCTGTAACATTAAGTCTCTTCACTCCTAACAAAAGTGAACCACTCTGCTAGTAAACAGACAATTTTTGGCCCTGGAAATAGCAAGGGGGACATTTTGCCTTTTTGGTTCTAACCATGTGAACAACTGTCAGATAACCACCCTTGGGGGGGGAAACCTCTCTACATATTTGGCTTTTGTTGGGACTTTTTTATTCTCTTGCAATTAAATTTCTGTAAACTTGCTGCTATCTGTATTAAACATATATACTTTAAATGTTACGCCTATGAGTTCTTATTTCATTTTAATTTAGACAAATGATGACAATTACGCCAACAGCTACATGACAACATGCACCTCTGACTCCCTAGTCCTGTATATCCTGATATACAACCCACTGTAGGCTACAGTATCTGTTTTTAACATTTCTGTTATTTAAATATTTCAATTTATTTCTTGTGTTAAATAAGTAGCCTTACATTTTCATGTGTGATTTTGAAAACCCATTTGGTATTTGACCCAGACTTAAGCCTTTAGGTGAATTGCTTAAAAAATATCTGTAATATATATATATAAAATATAAAAAATAATATATTGTATGTGAGTTTTAGGGCAATCTATGTAAAATAAAGACACATAAAAGTAAAGTGCTAGTGTTCAAAAAATTTAAAGTTGTGTCTTACATAGAAATGAAGGTCTTTATTTGAATACATTGATAGCCCACCTCATAAATTATCATTCATAAGAGTGTCATCACATACTATTTCTAGTTTTGTCAAAAGCTAATAATAATAATAGCTATAATTCTGTGAATGTAATGACTCATTGTCCTTGGGGATGGAGTAGGGATTTAGTGACCATCTGACCTCTCCTATAGTGCCACCATCAGGACGATCACTTCATGTTTCTCCCCCTCTACTATAAAAAGGGCACGTTGCATTAACGGCAAGAGTGAAAATGTCCGCTTCTAGTCTCCACCAGTAGACAGTATTAAATAGTCAATTCTGCTCTCACACGTGTTGTTTCTCAAATTAAGCTCTGAACCCTCCATCACTGTTGCCTGGGTTACACGTTGCTGATAAATGTTGCAGTTGTCACTCAGAACCCGCTGTTGGTAAATTAAGCGAAGTAACTCTTCTCCTCAACTTCCGGTGTACTGATTTCCGAGCGCCACCCAAACGCACCACCAACTTCTCGCGTTTTTGCGGCGCGTGTGCTTGCGTTGATCTTTCCGAGCGCGCAGCATCTACAACATGGCTGACGTGACAGCGGCGGACGACGGGAAACTCAGCAAAAAGTGAGCTTATTCTTTTCTTCCGCCGCATTGCAGCCTCTCTCTGGCCCGTAAGCACCGTTATCCCCCACGAACAATCTGTTGTTTCAGCAGTTACGAGCGTTTTTACGTTGGCTTTGCTGCACGTAGCGTCCGGTCGGAGGATGGTGGCAGAGCGAGGGTTCCATATGGAGACAGACCGCATATAGAACTAACTTCATATCCCAGGATTCAGTTCGTTTGTGTATTCTGGTAGTTGTAGTCCTGAAAGGGAGCTGAAGCCGATAGCCACAGTGCGTTCTACTAATCAGTAAAACTACACCATCCAAAATACACCCAATGAAATGTCTTCCTCACGTTGATCCTGTAACCGTGTGCTTTATGTCAGATGTTCGCTACTGTTAACGTGTGGTATACATTTAATTGTGGCATTTTACTGTAGCAGAGCATTTTGTTATTATTTTAGGCGCATGAAAGCGTCAAAACAATTCTTAAATAAAGTTACCGGCGTTGTCCTTCGTTCGCCTTGACTTTCTTTACTTGAAAGCGATAAGTTAACGATATGTATTTCTGTGTTTAACGATGGCGTTGTCTGTGACACACCCTTTGCTAAACAAAAGTAAAAGTGGATCTAGATTTCTCTGATATGAAATTCTCAACGAGTTCACCATGGTTCCTTTTTTTATTATTCATTTATTGTCCTCAGGCGAGGGTCTGACAGCCATTGCTATATATGCGGTACACTCTCTTTGTATATATATATATATGTTTATTTTCTCAGGTGTGTTCGCTGACTGTGGTAGCTCAGCATGCTGTGTCTGGTCAGGGCAGCCAGGCAGCACCTGTGCCAAGCCTTTGGGGTCAGGGGACAGTGGTTAAAATGCGCACCCCCTTGTACAGCTGCAGCCCCAGCTCAAATTTACGGGAATCGTTGGAGAGGTGACAAAAGGTTGGTGGCTTTTCCATTCCAGTGAGAAAAACAACCAACCTTTTGTCATCAGAGCAAATGTGGTCCCCTCCCCCTTTCTGCATGGTTGATTGCTGTGCATCTCTGTTATTAGTAGATTGTGTCGTGGCTTTGTTTTTATTTTTTTGTACGATGTGGTAAGTTTTTGTTAAACTGTTTTAAACATTTATTGAATTTCAGTTCAAACTTCAATATCTCACCTATGACTCATGTTCGCTTCCCTTTTTGTTTCTTATCAGTGAGCTGAAGAGACGAATGAAAGCAGAGAAGAAGGCGGCTGAGAAAGAAGCCAAGGTCAAAGAACAGGTGGAGCAAAAGAAGGAAACTAATGACCAGGGAGCGCAGAATGCGTTGGATGAGGAGACGCTTGACCCAAATGTGAGATTCTTCTATGGTTATTATACCTTAGTAATTACTTATTATTCTCTTAATATTTGTATCTGTTTTTGTATAAATACAATCATTTGTTTCCCTTTAACATAGCAATACTTCAAGATCCGCACCCAGGCCATCCAGGAGCTGAAGGGCACAGCAGAGGACCCGTATCCACACAAGTATCATATAGACCTGTCCCTCACAGAGTTCATCGAGAAATACAATAATCTGCAGCCTGGAGACCAGCTGACTGACGTTGTCCTCAATGTGTCAGGTACCAGGAATATATTTAGAATCTCAATCTGATTTTCTGTTTTGTGTGTACATTGTAATCCAGCAGTAGATTCCTTGTTAAACTCAATGTGTTATTGGCAGGCCGTGTCCACGCCAAGCGGGCTTCTGGTGCCAAGCTGCTTTTCTACGACCTTCGAGGTGAAGGCGTCAAGTTGCAAGTTATGGCGAATTCAAGGTATAGAATGACTACATATAGGTCTAACACATCATTTGTATTTGTCTGCTTTACTCTACTTTGACAGCTGAAGGGTCAGTACACTCAACATCAACTTCGAAGACACCTTAGTTGGCCACAAACCCACATTTCCAACATAATTGCGGTGGTTGATGTAACTTACTTGCATTATACAACATTTTTGTATTGTGAAGTATACTCCGACAATTTGTTAATTTCTGTGTATCTTCTTTTACTCTGTCAGGAACTACAAGTCTGAGGAGGAATTTATTGCCATCAACAACAAACTCCGCAGAGGTGATATCATTGGTGTCCGTGGTAACCCAGGGAAGACCAAAAAAGGGGAGTTGAGCATCATTCCCATTGAGTTGACCCTACTATCACCATGTTTGCACATGTTGCCCCACCTCCACTTTGGCCTCAAAGACAAGGTAATGCCAACCATGACTAGGCACTTGAAGTTAATGAGAGGAGCCACATTTACAACATGTCATTAGAAAACAGAAAGTAAAAGCACTAGTTCTTATGTCTCAGTATTTGTTTTTCATACCTTCCTGACATGTCACTGGGGTATACGCTGTGTGACGGTGTTTGTGTAAAAAGCAAACTAAGTGTAAAAGGTGAGCTGCTGGTCATAGAAGTCATTGTTGCATGCTGGAGCATTTCTATTTTAACCAGCACATATTTTCCAGCCTTTACAGCATTGGTTTAGCGGCACAGAATCATCTCACATGGCACTACTCAAACAATCACATCTATACAGTGCGACCCTTAATAGTATGTGATTGCGACTCAACTCAGTGAGTGAGACACACACAGCTTGTGTGACACAGGGCAAAGAAAATAAGAGACAGTCAGAGTAATAAGTATGTCGGAGAAAGGGGAAAAAAAGAGAGAAAAGTAGATAGCGAAAAGAAAGCTAGAATTAAAAATGGATAGACTCACTAACATTACGAGACAAAGTACAGAGCATCTTTTGAGCAAACATACCCACTCAAGTCCAAAGGGAGCTCACAGAAAAATGCTCTAAAGAGCCGATATGATTGATCCACCAGATTTCTAAATACCGTATATGTATACCTATGTTTCTACCACCCAAGCCTAGTCTCACTATATGCGATGTATTCAGGGCAGTTTTTCTTAAACATTTGCAGTGTAAAAGACATGCATTTGAGACTGAGCTCTGTTTAAATTGGGATAAACTATATGGTAGTGACAGCAAAAAATTATACATACCTTGAGGATTATTCCACGGTAAACACAGGCTTAATAAATAACATTAATGTTGGCCTAATACTGATGCATAATAATGGCCTGTTGGTGCTGTGCAGTGCTTTCAGTTCTTTCCCTCACTGAACACATGATGGCACATGATGACTGTTCTACTGAAGGAGGAGTGAGTGTAGTCCAGTGACAGTGACATTGTCAGTGTATCCTCTAATCTACATGCTGCCATGCTTGCGTGGCTTACTGGCACGCCTAAAATGGAATTGAGCCATAATTAATGTAACAGGATACACTCTGCTGTGACAAGTCCACTGTGAGAAAGTTTGATCACATAAAAGTATAAGTCTGACCGGAATATTCCTGTTTATCTGATGCAACATCGCCTGAGTTGTGGTCTTTTCAGAAAATGTCCTCTCAGATGAGGAGACATGATTCTTGTTTTTTTGTTACCCAAGAAAGAAGAATCTTACAGAAGTGATTTTGACATCAGTTCAGAAGTCTTCTGCTTATCACTAAATGAGTTGAGGACAACAACACATGTCACAACAACAGCAATAACCAATGTAGAAGCATTTGTTCTCACCACCGTGCTATCTTTCTCTCAAAGGAAACACGATTCCGCCAACGCTATTTGGATCTGATTCTGAATGACTACGTAAGGCAGAAGTTTATAACTCGCTCCAAAATCATCACATACCTGCGCAGCTTCCTGGACCAGCTGGGATTTTTGGAGGTACAGTAAAAATTGTTGTCTGTAGTGTATTGAGACATCCAAGTTGACCATGTCACACAGCAAATTAAAGTCTTTAGTTTTGTTTACACTAATTTATAATATGGATTTTATAAAAGAAGCTCTCTCTAATATTGTGTGTATTTGTCCCACAACTGAGATAGTTAAAATGCCCTGCAGTGCCCTTGTAGCTCACTTGGTAGAGTCCTTGCAGCAGCGGCCTCGGGTTTGAATCCAACCTGTGGCCCTTTACTGTGTGTCCCCCTGTCCTGTCACTGCAAAAAGCCCCAAATAACTTTATAAAATTTGTCTGTGTGAACTCGCTTTGCTGAATCGTGCTTGTTACTTCAGATTGAGACACCAATGATGAACATTATTCCTGGGGGAGCAGTGGCCCGTCCATTTGTTACATACCACAATGAGCTGGATATGAACCTGTACATGAGGATCGCACCTGAGCTCTACCACAAGGTAATCCATTACTTTGAAGAGCAATCCATCCCAGTAATCTGGGGGAATATTTTAGTAAATCTGTTATCAATTTGATATTGTGCCTGTGAATATTTTGTGCAGAAATACAGAGACTTTTTTTATTGTTACATTTCTCAAATGTCTAAACATTTACACTGTACATCGTATCTTTCCCACAGATGCTTGTGGTTGGTGGAATGGACAGAGTGTATGAGATTGGTCGTCAGTTCAGGAATGAAGGCATCGATCTTACTCATAATCCAGAGTTCACCACCTGTGAATTCTACATGGCATATGCAGATTACCATGACTTGATGGAGATCACAGAGAAACTACTCTCAGGTAAGTGAAACACACAGTCAGTGATATGGTTGAGTGGTGGTTGTTGCTTCTTCACCTGTCAGGGATTTGACTGTCCAACTCGATAGGCAGTATCGTGGTGGAAGAAAATCATTTTAACCTTAAAAATAAAATTTTTGATTTGCTAAGAAATAGTTAATGGAAAGCCAACTAACTTACCAATATAAAAAAAAGACCAGCAGTGATTAGCTTAAAGCTTTTGGAAGTCTTGGTAGAGTTATTTGTAGCAAACATCCAGTTTATCAAAGGAAACTGACAGCCCTACCCTGTAAACTGTCACGCCTAAATTATTCACCAAAGATTTCTATCCAGTGTGGAGCATGCCATCAGGTGAGCGACCTTGTCAGGTGGCATTCCTGTCCCCGCCCTCAAACTTCTCTCGTTGTGCAAAAAACTCAACCTTTGTCAGAAGGAACCTCAAACCTCAACCTTTTTGCAGCATGTTGTGGTTTCAATATGAGATGCAACAAGAGCAAAACTGTTCACACCCTTGTAAGAGGGAACTGCAGACATCCTAACAATAAATCAAATATGAAGCCAGAGAGGGACTGGTAATGAGCTGGTTGGCCTCCGACAGTTAGAAACACTGTGAACATGTAACATATTCTTTTGTATTTGTGTCATCGAGGGTGGCATTATCACAACAGGAATTTATTTTCAAATATAAATATTCCAGATCTCCATTTCCTCTCAGTATCTTCTCAGTTTTGTCACTTCTCACACACTGTGGATGTGCAGGAAAAGTGGACAAATAGGAAAACTGCGCTCCTTAACTCAGTGGGTCCTCTCCTCTTTGTTTCAGGAATGGTGAAGCACATTACTGGAGGATACAAGGTGACTTATCACCCTGATGGTCCGGAGGGACAGGCCTATGAGATTGACTTCACTCCACCATTCAGAAGAGTGAGCATGACACACGACCTGGAGAAGATTATGGGTGTCAAATTCCCTCCGACTGACAGCTACGACAGTGATGGTGTGGATCTGAAAATCTTTGTCCTCCTTTCTTTTCTTTTTTTCTTAGAGGAGATGTTTTAAACCCTTTTAATCCCTATTTAAATAAACCACATTGCCTCTTTCTCCATCTGTTTCTTTCACAGATTTATGTTTATGTTAGTAAAAAAATTTCATTTCTAATTTCTCTTTCATGCTTTTGTCCACAGAGACACGTAAATTCTTTGACGAGCTGTGTGCACAGAAAGGAGTTGAATGCCCTCCACCGAGAACCACTGCCCGCCTCCTTGACAAGGTGCTGTATTGATGAACATCAACATCTGTTGTACAGTTCATTGCTTTCTCTCTATTTATTTACCAATCACTTTTGTTTCCCTACAGTTGGTTGGAGATTTCCTTGAGGTCACCTGTATCAACCCCACATTCATCTGTGATCACCCTCAAATCATGAGTCCCTTAGCAAAATGGTGAGAGACGCCTCATTTCAGCCTCATATACGTCATTTAAAAATGCAATACTCAGGGTTCACACTGACACTTGCCTTATTGTTACAGGCACAGATCACAGAAAGGCCTAACAGAGCGTTTTGAGCTCTTTGTGATGAAGAAGGAAGTCTGCAATGCTTACACTGAGTTGAACGATCCGATTAGACAGAGGGAGCTTTTTGAGCAGCAAGCCATGGTGTGTATACAAGTCTAAACTATTGTTTACCTTGTACCTTCTCCCATTTTCTAAAGCTTCATGCTCCTTTCTGATGCAATGTGATCATGTATATTAGTACATATTAATAATTTGACTTGCATCTTTTTCAGGCCAAAGCTGAGGGTGACGATGAAGCCATGTTCATTGATGAGACCTTCTGCACAGCACTGGAATACGGACTGCCACCTACTGCCGGCTGGGGGATGGGCATTGACCGTCTCACCATGTTCCTCACTAACTCCAACAACATCAAGGTAAAGCTGTCACATGAATCATAATGCACTAAGCACTAATAATCAATGCATTAAGTCCTTATACCTAAATGACAACATAGGTTTGCTATTGTCTTCCAAACATTTTCAAACTGTTTAATATTTCCTTCAGGTACATGATGTAAATGTATTGTATAACTACAAAGCTGCAGCTAAATAATTGAAACAGAACTGACTTGTTCCTGATTGTGTACTGTTTGACTACCTGGTCCTCTCACAACCTTTGGGCGGAAATACAACAGAAGAACACATGATTAAAGAAATGCAAAGAAAAATGGACTAATGAGATAACATCGTCAAGAAAGTCAATTCCTTGCACTGTGTGCTGCCAACATCTGTCAGGCCTCATAGGTTCATGCTGTAAGAGAGAAAAAAACCCTCAGCTGACCGTTTTGGTTCTTTCACAGGAGGTGTTGCTGTTTCCTGCCATGAAGCCTGACGACAATAAGACACCAGCGCCTACAGAGGGCACTTCCGTCTAATGACATGACCTCTGACCTCTACTGCTGTCAGATCTGTGCAGGAGTCAGTCACTGTGGTCATCAGTGGAGCCCGCGGGTTTTGTGTATTATCAATGTTAGTCCGTTTGATCCTTGCTGTCTTTAAGGGAACTCATCTTGTCTCAGTTACAGGGTTAACAATGAAGAATGATTTTCTTTTTCTTTTTTTTTGCTTTTGTATTTCTTACACTTTTGCGATCACATTAGCATTTGTCCTTCTTGTTTGAATGAAAGGGGACATTTTTAATCGGTTTTGTCATCCATATAGTAAATGGATGGTATTTGGTCAGGAAATCATGTGTGATCTGCTGTTGTGTGCAGACCTGGATGAAACACTGAATATACTTTGAGATACTTCAAAGAGTACTTGATTCTGGCTACAAAATACATACACCACATAATAACAAAGCTCAAGCATTTGTAATATTTTAAGTGTCCTTTGTATAGTCATCTGTTTTACCAGGTTTGCTTGTATTCCTTGTCTGAGACTTTCAAAATGGACTCCACAAATTCCTCTGCCCAAAAGTTTGAACATGGGTTCGTCTGAATAAAGCGCATATGAATCTACTCTATTCTATTGTTCCTTCTCTTGTGATGTTTGTGTTTGTTTACAGAATGAAATTCAATGTATTGTGAAGAGCTTTCACAAGTTTCATGAAAAGGAAAGTGTTTGCAGCCCCTTAACTCCACTACAGACAGATTAGATATCACCAAGAGGCAACAATTACTTTTGCTATTGTGATTCATTAAAAGAGTAACTTAACACATGAAAAGGTTTTTCCTAACCTGGCCACCAAACCCAAATCAGAACATTAATTGTGATCTCCCCAAAAAGTGCTTACTAATGGAGGTGAAACAAACATTCACTAAACCTTGGTCCCTAGGATAAAGCAAAAACAGGAGAAAAGTCAATAAGATGGAGATCTCAATGATCTTACTTTACAGGCTCAGAGCACACACTCACATAAACACAGCCACAAAAAACACATGGACAACTGGACAAAAGTTAGAAATATGGATAAGGCTGTAACAACACCTCCTGCACTAAACATTTCCAAGTGTGTGTGTGTGTGTGTCACTGCACACATGCAAACTTTAAAATATTACTACAGTACTTCTATCACTTCATTGGCTCCCAGTGCAGTTGTAGAGGATCAACTGTTAAAAGCACTTTTTAAAATGTCCACATATCTATTAATTATGTTACACAGGAAATGTGTAACTACAGAAATAAACAATGTCATAACTAAATATATGGCAAGCTCCAGATGCTGCCTTTGTATTTGTACATCGGTGTCTTCATCCACATGGCCAGTTTATAGAGCTCTTGCTGTTAATTCTCTTGCTGTTGGTGGCTCTGTAACAATCTCTGCAGAGAAGACCTCCACCCTGATTTATGCTGGCTCCTCCTGCAGATGCAGACAGGCTGCAAAGCTCATAGCTTGGTAGCTGATGATCTCTTTGGCTATGAGGCTGCAGGCCACCACGGCAGTCTTTAGGTCCTCAAGGCGTTTGAGATTTTGAAGGAAGACTTGCAGCATCAAGTGATATCCACCGTGACTCTTTCATCGAAGCTCAGTGTGTAATCAGATCTCATTTTACAGTATCAGAGCCACCAGCTTTAAGCCATAATCCTCACCTGCATTGATGTGCCAGATGTCCTCATAAGACTGTCCCTGAGTAGCACAGAGGCTTTCAAGAAGTTGCAGGAAGTAGAAAGAAAAGGTTTTTTATTCAAAGTATATTACCTCTGAATTGTACTAAAAAACAGCACTTTAGTTTCTGGCTGACTGGAGGAAAAGATTCCACGGTTGCAATCAGAGGAAGAGGACCAAAATGTAAATGAGCACAGATTCATTTCATGAGCTCGTACAGAGTAAGGGTCCCAGACTAAATAGATGAGCTGAGCAAAAAAAACGTATAATCCTCCATGGCTTTGTCATTTCCAATGTTAATATAAAAATACTGCTAAGCACTGCTTTACCTAAAAACACAAATTGTTAAATAAGATTATAAAACCAGTTTGAATAGTTTTAAAAACTTTTCCTGATGAGATCTGTGCCTTGTACATACAATACAATTACAATGATACTGTGGCAAAATGTGACCTGGATACTTTTTATGTAACAGTTTAGTACAGACACACAGACAAAAAAAATGACCTGTCATATATTGTTCTTATAACCCTTTGCTTATAAATGTATTAAATTGCAGTAGGAGTCCCTGTTAACATGAAAAGTGTGCTCCCAATTTGTGGAACTACATTTGTTTTGTCACAAAGGCAAACTTAATTCAGGGAGTGAATGATGAACAGTGATAACAGCCAATGAGATGTGCTGGGTGTTGACCTATGTGCGTGTGAATGCCAATGAGCGTGTGGCAATAAAGTTCCTACTGTGTTTGTATTCCTACGTAATTATTTTTTAAGCACGCACCTCTGCTAACACTCCCCTACATTTATCCGACAGCTACAGTTACTGGATGATTGACACATTTGGACTTTACATGCAAAACATACATCATCTTATAAAATGATTTGTTGATGCAAAATAAAGTACCAAACAGTATATAAAATACCTTAAATTAGCTGGACCAGCCACGACATAAGCATGCCCCCTACATGGTAATGCATCATTAATAATATTCCAATAATATAAAATCTATAATAAATGAGTCTAAAAAGGGACCTTTCAGCGTTAAAAATCATTTTACTTTTGTTACTCAGCACTTTTTTTTTTGCTAAGACTTTTACTCAAGTCAAATTTTGACTGTATGTATTGTTGTATGTGTATTTTTAACATTATTATTTATGATTAACAACGTCAAAAGTTAGTCTTTATTTTTTACAGCAGCTGTCAGAAACCACCGCACTCTTTAACTGACCCCCCCACCCCCCGGCGCGAGCCCGCGAACAGTGGGATGGTGCGCGCCCCCGCGGTCAAGTGTAATGTGCACTCGATTAAAGAGTCGACACACACAGAGTGAAGATGGCGATGAGAGCGGCGCTGCGGTGCCTCTCCGCAAACTTTTCCCCCAGACTGCCTCAGCTCTCGTCAGCAGCGCAGCTTTCGGCGACTCGGCTGCTGTGGAGGAGCGGCTCTCCGCGGGCACTGAACACGACCTCGGCCCTGTCCACAGGTAATAAAGAAAACAAAACAACAAAACCCAACAACAACATGTAAACACGGCTGCCCCGAAACGGAGCGGTAATGTTGCAGACCTCATGCGGGCTTGCTCACACATTCCTGTGTGCAATGGGCGAAAGAAGGAAAAAAAAAAAAAAAACAACTCACGCAGTTTTGTGTCACTTTCCCACAGCGGAGCGGAGGAGTGCGACAGCTAAAAGTTTAACTTGGAGGTGGCTGACTTCAGTACCAAAACTTTAGGAAGACAGCAGCCACATGTAATGTTGGATAAAGTGTACAACAAGGCTTTATTTCTCCCCTTATTTGATCTCATTGGAGAACCCACGAGCTCCAAATTGTGACGTTAATGAATGACCGTAAACAACAAATTACCCATGTCTCGTGCACCAAGTAGTTACTTATTACACCAAAAAAAATCAGCACAGACCCTGGATATGTGCCACAAATCGATGTGGAGCGTTGAAATTCATGTTAAGGTGGTTTGAAAATGTCAACATTTAGATTATTTCCTCATAGTTGTGGCTTCCCTTTACTATTCCCTCCTCATAGACACAACTCTGACATGCTGAAGCTTTTCAAGGCTCTCTCACCTTGTTTAATGTTTAGGGGGACAACAGCCCTTTTTTTTTTTTTTACAGCAGGAATATTCAGCTCTCAGGACTGACTCTGCTCTCTCCTGCCATGCATCAGCATCTCCCACAGTTCACAATCTGGTTCAAACCTGTATTTTTCTGCATGGTCTGATGCCAACACTGGGAATTGTTAAGGCATTGTGGTTCTTCCCTCGGGGAATTGTAAAGATGACAGCATGAGCTTGGACAAAAAAGGCTCTAATTCTTGTTTTAATTGCAGATCTGACTCACGGGTTCTGACATGCCTGTTTTTGAGGATGTCTCATTGCAGCCAGTGAATTACTGATATTTTATTTCTGGGGAGCGTAGTGTGGCATTACAAACTACTGTTCAGATTTAGTCCATAGTACAGTTAGGTGTCCCTGTCCTTTGACACTGGTGGGCTTCCCTCTATATATTCATCATAGCAGTCTTCTATCACGGTTCATACTGATTCATCTGTTCTTTGTTCTCTCTGCAGCACTAAAGTTCACAGATAAGCATGAGTGGGTGCAAGTGGAAGGTGGAATTGGCACAGTCGGTATCAGCAATTATGCTCAGGTAGGTTGTTGGGTCTCTCTTCTTTTACTAATCATTGATTTGTGACACACTTTGTTCAGAGGTTTACTGATTGCTGGCTAAAAATAGTGATATGCTAATATCTGCAATGTGCAGTTCAGCACTGCACTTTGTCCTCACCTGCAGCAACTGTACTGTAACAAACTAATTTACTGTTTTACGACTTGTTTGAGACAATTGATTATTACCCAAACTGCAGTGGTGTGCAGAAAATCTCAAGGGCACGCGCTTGCTTTACCTATAGACGTTCAAAGTTTTGAATGGGATTTGAATGCTGCCCTGTTTTCATGTGTTGAGCAGTGACAGGTTTGCCACACAGCCGCTGAAATCAAAAGTTCAAAGGATTTTATCTCTGCTGCTGACCGGTCAAAAGTGCTACCTCCAGGATTGTAGCTGAATGTGAGGCAAGATGGTGATGTGACAACATGGAGGAGAAACTCTGTCTGCTGGGTTGGCTGTTGTTTCTAAGATGACAGAAATGAATTGCATTGTCAAGCATTGTTGTCTGGGTTTGCTGCTCACGTCTCTGATATTCTCAGCGGTTCAGATTATCTGACTGACACATCCCTTTTGCAGTGTTTTTATTGCCTCTGTTTATATTCATTAACCTCTCATATCACCACTGCATTCAAAAGGAAATCCTCATAAACTGTGGATGTGATTATTTCTGAGCAAAGTGTGGGCTTTATCAATTTGCACTAATATTGTACTTGGGAATTTGAACTTTGAGCAAACCTCTGACCATGTGTATGCACATTGGTTTGTTTTTAAATTATAATAACAATTAAGGATGAAGTCAATGTCCCTCTGCTTTCTATAAAAAGCTCCAGTCTAAAGTGGCTTAATTTGTAAGTTCAAAGGATTTTTAGACATAAGACAGTTTAAGGTTTCATTAAGAGGCCAAAAGGCAAATTGGCATTGCTTTAGGACTTTACACATACTGCATTTATGCTGGAAACAGTTTAACAGAGCTCCAAGACGCAGCGCTTTCTCTAATACTACTGCCTGTGTGCTGGTAGATTATTTCCCTTAATAAGTTCATTTTATTTGCAAATTTTTTAAGCTTGTTTTTACGTATGTATACATAAGGCAGTTTCCTCCAGTAAAGAAACACTTTGACTATAAGTGTTTTTTTAGGAGCAGTAAATGAGACATGCTGTGCACAGGCACAGTGGTTCAGGTAAATATGTGTAGGATTAATCAAAGCACACTTCCTACAGGTGAAAATACAC